AGAATCTGGTGCCCCGACCGGGACTAGAACCTGGTGCGCCGGTGCCGCAAGGCGGAGGATTCGCCTAGTGAGCTGCGGCGCTGGCCTGTAGTCCGTTCTTACTGACCCTCAACCCAAATCCAGATCCGTCCTCTCCTTCTCAGTGCTAGGGATTCTACAGGGGTGCTTCAGAACGTCCATGCAAAGTGTGCATTGCGAGAAAGCTGTGCAGTGATATAAAATTAACACCTTTTCCATCCATTTTCCTACACACTTAACTTTTTAAAAATTTATCCAGAAGGCAGAGAGAAAGACAGAGAGAGACACACACAGATAGATCTCCCTTCAGCCGGTTCACCACCCTCCCCCACCAGATGCCTGCAGCAGCTGGGGCTGTCCAGGAGCCAGGAACTGAGTCCAGGTCTCCCACGTCAGTAGCAGGGACCCAAGTACTTGATCTGTCACCAGCTGCCTGCCTGGGTGTGCATTGGAAGTGGAGTAGCTGAGACTCAGGGCTGAAACCAGGCACTCTGACATGGGATGCAAGCATCTCCAGTGGCGACCATGCTAACCCCAGGTACTACTTTTTTGCCCTGCTGAGAGATTGTGTAGTTGGAATTCAAATTTTAATTAATTTCTTTATAAAATTATTTGTTTGAGAGGCCGGTTACAGAGAGAGAGAGAGAGAGAGAGAGATCTTCTGTCCACTGGTTTACTCTCCAAATGCCCACAATGGTCAGAGCTGGGCCAGGCCAAAGCCAGGAGCCAGAAGCTTCTTGCGGGTCTCCCACATGGGTGCAGGGGTCCAAGCTCTTGGGCCACCTTCTGCTGCTCTCCCAGGCACATTAGCTGGGAGCTAGATCGGAAGTCGAGCAGCTGGGATTTGAACCAGTGCTCATATGGCATGCAGAGTCACAGCTGGTGGCTTAACCTGCAGCACCACAATACTGACCCCTTATTAATGTCTTTAAAATAAATTTTCAGTTGACACACAGTAATTAAAATGTCATTTAAAGAAGGGATTGGGAATGTCCTGTAGCTATATACTCCTAACCAGAAGGCATTGAAAAGCCAGGAACCAAGGAAACCCAGGAGCAAGGGAGAGGACAGAAGTTTCTAGGACCTGCTGCAGGCTGAGTCCCAATGGGGAGAGGAGGGAGGCCCGGCCCGGCCTCCACAGGTGCTGCAGTTGCGTTCTGAGCATGCCCATTGCAGGTTCTGTGTCTGCTGCTAGCTGGGTACGTGCGCCAGGCTGGAGCACCTGTGAGCCCCCTGGGACTCACCTCCACAATGAGGGTATTGGCATGGCCTAGGAGGTCAGGGCAGCTTCCAGGTAAGGAGAGACAAGGACTGGAGAAAGGGCGAGTAGGTGTCTGCCTAAGAGAGACCGTTCTCAGCCCATACAGCCCCTCCTCGTGAGGAAAAACCATGGTTGGGGCCACTTCTGAACAAGAGGGCAAGAAAGAGAGCCAGGAGCGCAGAAGGGGGTGTATGAGCACAGGCAAAGGGGCAGGGACCCCGAAGACCCCACAGCCAGATCTTCCCTATGGTTATTTCACCTGATGGCCACTGGGGGCAGCAGACAGCAAGCACACCACCAAGAACAGGGCATAGCTCAAGTAGGAGGCCAGTAGCTGACCCGAGACTTACATAGACAGACTGTAGACAAATCCACAAGGACAGTGGCCCAGGTCCAGGGGCTGTGTGGTTTCCCCACTGAAGATCAAAACCCCTGATGCAGGCAAAAATCAGTCTTCACAAGGTGGGCACAAAGTCTCCAAGTGACTGTTCAGTAAATTACCTAGCTCAAAGGTTTTAAAATGCTCAGTTATTAAGGAGAGGGCATCTTATGCATAGAAGCCCAGGGCTACAGCCTGCCAGCTTTCAACTGCGCTGTCTGTTGTCTTCCACGTGGGGCAGCTGCTGTAACCTGCCTCTGGCCCCTGGACTTGATCACAGGAGAGCGGCTGGCCCTGGGGGTACTGTTTTGCCCATAGTCAGTCCAGTCACACGTGCACACGTGTGTGTGTGTGTGTTTGGCTGCTCTGGTTTCAGCAGAAGAGGTCCAAATGGAGGTCCCTTGCTGCTGGGAAGACATGTTGGGTGGGAAAAGGCATCCTGGGCACAGCTCACTGCTTCCCCTCTGACCTCACTGTGCCTCCCAGGGAATCTGGGGTCTGGCTGCGGCTATGCTAGTAGGAGTTGGGCCGGTCACCTGGGATGGATGTGTGGAGAGTGCCAAAGGGCCCCCGGCTGCTGCTTCAGCCTTGCTTTGCGCTGGTGCAGGAGCCCGGCATGCTCTCAGAGGCTCGGAGAGTCTTTTACAAGGCAGTTCCCTCCGTGGGGTGGCATGGTCATCTGGGGTGGCTGGTCCTGCCGCTGTGCCAGGGCCCCTGTGGCTCTGTCCAGAGTCTGTTGTAAGCTCTCGGTCATCTCTGTGTGTGGGGTTGGGCAGATCTGGCCACGGCTACAGATGGACCAGGCTGAACCCTTTAGATGGAGCCCATCTGGAGTAAAAGATGGGACTTAGGGGGACTCTGGCTTCTGGGAGAGCCTGGCAGCAAACAGGACACCAAGTGCCAAGAAAGGGCCTTCCTCCAGGAGCCAGCATGGAAAACAGGGTCCTGACTATGATTTCAGGGCCTCTCACAGCAGCCCCTGAGTCCTGGCTCCCTGCTTGTCGCTCTGTTCCCTGGAAAGCCGGGGCAGGCAGGAGCAGGGAGCCTTCGTTTGTCTGCCAAGTGGTGTGGATCCTGCTGTTAGCCTGTGCCTCGACATCACTGGTCCTTGGCGGTGCCTTGCAGGTGCAGCTCAGGTGATGCTGAATGGGCGAGAGGCTGGGAGGAGGAGTCAGGGCTCAAATTGGGACCGTCTGCCACAGCCAGAAGATAAAATGTAGGGTCCACATGAAGCTGGTGCATCTTCCTTTTTTGCATATTATTTTATTTATTTGAGAGGCACACACACACACATACACACACACACACACACACATTTCCCATCTGTTAAACTCCCCAAATGCCCTCAACAGCCAGGGGCTGAGGGCAGGAGCTGGGACCCCATCAGCTCTCCCACATGGATTATAAGAGGAACCCAATTACTGGCGCTACCACCTGTAGCCTCCCAGGGTCTGCATTAGCAGGAAACTCGAACAGTAACCCAGGCACTTGGATATAGGATGCAGGCCTCATAGCCGCTAAGGCCAAACACCCATTCCCAATCAGCTTGCTTTTGAAATAAGAGCAGTGAGTGAGGCTGTGAAGACGGGGGACAGGTCTCCGGGGAACCTCCCCTGCTGTTAGGTTGGACAGAGGGTCTGGCTATCCCTGGAGAGCTGAGGAGCCCCTCAGGTGGGACCCCCTCTTGTGCTGTCCTCTCTCCCACCCCTCTGGTGTCCCGTCTGTCCATGCACATGAGGGGTGGACATCAGGGTGTGGCTCTGTACTGTGTGGGCAGTGGACAAAGTGCTGGCTTCCCGGGAGGGGGCTGGGTGGAACCTGGAACCTGTGTGTCCAAGGTATCATAGGTCAGGTTCTTAGGCCAACTTGACATAGGAGGTTCTACTGGGAGGGTGCTGCTGCGGGGAGGAGGGAAGCCACTTTGCAGTGCGGTCACTGCAGAAGTCTCTGCCACCCATGGGGTGCTCTGAGCCAGGGGAGGAGGACGAGGGGCTTTGAGAATCTTTAGATTTGAGGCTAGGGGTTGGGTGGACCTTTGACCTGCATTGATGGGGCAGTGGAAGTGGTAGAGACCCCAGGCATAGCTTTGATGGAGAGCAGTGCCCTGAGAGGGACTCAGCTATGTGCCCACTATTGAGAGTATGGCCGGGGCAGGGGACTGACTGCAATGAAGAGAAGCAAGCCTGGGAGGCTGCATGGTGGAAGAGGTGTGTTAGTTGAGGTGTGATGAATGCATAAGGCTGTGATATCCAGGGAGGGTGAGGGGGTGAACAGTTGGCAAAGGTACATACAGTGGTCAGTGAGTTGCGTTCACTGGGCCTGGAGCAGTCAGACCGGGCATGCAGACAGGGCCTGGCCCCGGAGCACTGCTGGGAGCACCCACGGGGTGTGGTCCTTGAAATCTGTGGGTGGTGGGCCGGCGCCGCACCTCACTAGGCTAATCCTCTACCTGTGGCGCCGGCACACCGGGTTCTAGTCCTGGTTGGGGCACCAGATTCTGTCCCAGTTGCCCCTCTTCCAGGCCAGCTCTCTGCTGTGGCCAGGGAGGGCAGTGGAGGATGGCCCAAGTGCTTGGGCCCTGCACTTCATGGGAGACCAGGAGAAGCACCTGGCTCCTGCCTTCGGATCAGTGCGGTGCGCCGGCTGCAGGGCGCCAGCCGCGGCGGCCATTGGAGTGTAAACCAACGGCAAAGGAAGATCTTTCTCTCTGTCTCTCTCTCTCTCTCTCACTGTCCACTCTGCCTGTC